ATGATCTGTAAGGTCGATTCCAACCCCAAAAATTCTATGATACTATTAATTTTCTGCTACTAAATATTCAGACAAACAATTTATTTTAAAAAGTACTTTTTAAAACTCAGAAAAAAATTTAAGTACTCAAAGGAGTGTTTCTGCACATGCAAAGGATACACCAGTTAATGAACTGTCCTCTGTATTGCTTTGTATTTATAATCCAAATTGTTTCATTTTCATTATTTACTACTTAGAAATGCTGTCAACCACTTATAATTTTTATTTGGTAAATGCATAAAAGTAGGTCACTGAAAACAAGCTTATACACAATAATACACAGACACACCAGAGGATTAATACATAAAAATCAAGAGATGAAAAAAACTGACCTGCTGCTTCTGATGTTTGTTTAGTAGGGCTAAAAATAAGGCATAACATCTGGAGCAGTCTGCTAAAGCTGCACAGAAGTCATCGTAGGAAGAAAGTTTGCTACACAGAGAAAAAAAAATACAAATGAACAAAAGGACTTTTTTCCACCAAAGGTTTTTATTTAAAAAAATCTCTCTCTGCTTTTGACTCAGTGCTGTATTTTCCAACAAATGAAGTGAATGCCAATACTCTGACTTCTAGCAGAGGCATATGCAGTTACATAAGAGCACAACAGAAGTCTAGCTATCCTTGCCACAGTGAATTACAGGAAGAAGCAAACATAAGGAGCTTCCCAACCTGCTTGCCATATGGGCACAGTATGCTAACACTAGCACTTCTTAGCTTTAAATGGGAGAACTGTCACTTCAAGATGATGTGGGAAGTCAGACAGGAGAGGAAATAAAGGGTCCCTTCCTCCTGCAGATCCAGTAGAGCCCACCAACAGCACTAAGAGAAGACATCTCTCACCAGCAGATATGGAGAATGTGTCTCCTGCAGTCACAATTCTATTTCTGCACATTCCCTAACAGCTGCTGCAGCCCTACACTTGCTCACCTTGACCATTACAGAGACCTGGACATACTTTGGTCATACCACAAATACTGCAATAACAGAGCAAACTAGGATAGTCTCTTCCTTCCCATCTAGTCAAAACCAGAAAAGACTGTAATGCTGTTCAATTACAGGAAGACTTACAGACTTAGCGAAATGAATGCTCTGAATAGATTGAACACATTCTCTACAAAGAAGCTGCCTAAAGATACTGGCTGAGAGAAAAGAATCATCATTCTGTATTACTAGAAGACAAAACAAAATTCAAATCTGAGCTACAAACTGCATAGTTGGGTTTTTTTGTGACTGCAATTTCCAGAAAGCTAATTAAATTGATTTTATGGCTAATTTGTATCCTTGGAGCATGCAGTTCATTAAACTTAAAAAAAAATGGAAGCAGTAGGAAACTTTAAATAAGACACATTATTTTTCTCCATATTGAATTCTAGATCAAGTGAATGTCCTTATCAGAATTACAGTATAAGTATCGATTACACTTAATTATAAGGCCATTACCCCACTTTTTATGGCATTCTCCAAGTAAAGTAAATGCTCTCTCCTTAGGAGAAATAAATACACTCAAAGTGCTCCAATCACTGGTAAAACTCATTTTTAGGAATAAAATTTAGAGGCAGATGTGGACAAGGTGGCATGGAATTAGGGAAGCAATGCACATGCTTTACAGGCAGCACAAACAGCAAAGGACAGATTTGCCTGCTTTCAGCTGTGGAGAGGAAGGTATGACAGCCCCTTACCTAGCTGCTCTTCAAAGCACAACCTGACCTCATCCAGAAAGCAGCATGTGATGGATAATTTGAAGGGGCTGAACAGGAAAAGAATTCCATAGCAGAATCTCAGTGAACTTGGAGCCACATGACTCAATACAATAACAAAGCTCCAGTAGCAAATACTTTGTCCAGAACATCATTCCTAAGCTGTGTTATAACCCAACTACTCCTGAAATCACCAACAGCTGATTTCACAACTTCTTCAAAATCCTTATGTTGTTTGCAAGTCCATCTAACACTGGATACTGCAAGCTGGTGCTTGGTAACTGGAAGATTTTTGACTGAGAAACTATTCAGACTACAGAACAATCTCTGGTGACTCACTCATACTGATCTCCCTCTAAAAAGCACAACCTGGGAAGCAGTCACTGAGCTGCTCATAAAACTGAGATTCTTTCAGCACTTCCATCTGCACACTCAAGCCCTGATCCCAGAGATTAATCTCCCTAAACACTCTGTGACAGCTCAAAACAATGAACACTGGCCACATTTTCTCTCTTCTGTATTTTATTTCACAATACAGAGTCCTTTATATAACTTCGGCTTGTATAATTTCTCTCATTTTTTTAAAAAACATAGCCTAAAATAGAATTTAGAAACACCTAACAATTTAGGCAGATACAAAATATAAGAAATGGTACTTTGAAAAACTCAATCAGAACCTGTGGGATCGGAGAATGACACAAAACATTTTTCATGGGGATGATGAATCCAAGTTTATATGGCTACAATTAAACACTTCTGTAAGTATTAATAAAGACATAAATATCAAAGAAAATCACTCAAAGCTACACAAATCTTGATAAAAAACAATGCAATGTAAATCTTCCAGTTTCAGTGCTTGGTCCTGCCTCTTTTGAGGTCACTCAGTGCAGTAAGACAGACCTGAGTGCACGCAGAGCTCTGTGTTCCAGACATACCTGAGGATCCTGACGATGTAGGTGCAAATATCCTGCTCACTCACACGCTGCTCCAGCGCCACACAGAGCTCAGACACTGCACCACTGCAAACCAGTTGGCATCTTGCCGCAGGCAAATCAGCCAAGTTTCGCAAAGTAGCTGTCAGCTGCATATAGAATATTGAAACATTTATTAATCACAGCTGTCTGCAGCAGCACACACACAGTTCTGAAAATTTAACACAGCCCGTGTCTCGTTTATAGCATCTAAGGCAGTCTGAGTGTCCTGTTAGCATTCTGCAGGTATGTACACACCAATGAATTACAACAGGAAATTTATAAGCAACAGAACTGTGTATTTGAGATAACTGTTCGAAAATGAAAGACTGATACTGGTCCTGGCCTGTATGCAATCTCCACCTTGGAGGGACACAACATAGAATCATGGAATTTCAGGGGTTGGAATGGACCTTAGAGATCATCTAGTCCCAATCCCCTGCCCTGGGCAGGGACACCTCTCCACTAGACCAGGCTGCTCAAGGCTTCATCCAGCCTGGCCTTGAACACTGCCAGGGCTAGGGCATCTACTGCTCCCCTGGGCAACCTGTGCCAGTGTCTCACCATCCTCACAGGGAAAAATCTTTTCCTAATATCTAACCTAAATTTCCCTTTTCAATTTGTACCCATTGCCCCTTGCCCTGTCACTGCAGTTCCTAACAGAGTCCCTCTCTGGCTTCCCCGTAGCCCCTTCAGATACTG